CTCCTCCTCAGTCTTCCTGTCAATCCTGGGGGCTTTCCAGATTCTTCTTCTGATAAGACTCACTTCTCTAGCTGGTGGGTGGGAGGCCGTGGAGGGCCTGGTCCCCGGCTCCTGGGGGCTGTCGGCAGGTCACTGTGTTGCTGGGAAATACTGCTGTTGGACGCCCTTTCACTTTTGAAAATACATCCAGCAACTGTAAATTAATACCCAACTCGGCCTATTTGTCCACGGAAATGTTACGGCTAAAAGCGAAGTTTCTGCCAGATGGCCTCATCTTTGTCCCTTAGACGAGGCTGCATGAGAAGGGCCGACATCTTTGACGGCCAGGAGGCTCTGCAGGGTGCTGGCTTCTTCCATGAAGAGGCCTATGAAACACTTTGATGACGGTGGGTACGCGGAACACTGGGCAGAGCGCTTACTGCCCGTGAGGTCGTCCCAGGCGCAAGGACTCGCGAGGCTTGTGCACCCATGAGGACTGGTCCCACATGCAGGGAGGGAAACTGCTCGGGCACCACGTCTTCCTCTAAGAAAAAGGGGCCGGAATGCATCCCTGCTTACAATCGTCAGTCCTGGGGAGTGTGGGGTGGGCGGGTCGATGCTGGGCCTCTTCGAAGATTTCTTTTTGGGTAGATTTGACTTTAAAACCACATAAATACATAATGCAATTATAAACGGAATTATACTGAAAGCCATCCCTAAAACTGAGGAGTTCAAGGAAACAAACGGCCTCTTCGTGCATCCGCCCGAGGCGCCCACATGGGGACGGCCTAGACAGTCCCGACGCCACGGCCCAGACGGCACTGGGTGGCTGTATGTGTGCAGGGGCTCCAGGGGCCGGGCCGTGCAGGGAGGGCGGCCTCTTGCTTGGGGAGCCAGCGGTTTTCTCCGGCACAAGTCAGCGTCTCCTGCTGCCGGAGAGGCTGCCAGGCCCAGTCTGCAGCCCCGCCCGCGTCCCCCTCACCTTGCCCTTGGCCGGTCTCCCCTACTCTCCCACCATCTCCGGGCTGGGGGCAGTGCACAGGCCTCCCTCCACGGCGCCTCTCAGTCCTGCTCCTGCAGCCCTGTCCTGCACCAGGGCTCCTGGGACTCCGCTGTCCTTGGACAGACCCTCCGGATCCCTGAAGCCTGCCCTCCAGGCTGAGCCTCCCTCTCCAGGGCCATCTGCCCGGGCCCTGCCCAGACCCCAAGGCACGACGACTGGCCCCTGCCCTCTCTGACTCCCCCAGAACCCCATCCGCCTTTCCTGGGCCAGGGGCTTTAGGGCAGTGGTGACTGGCTGGGGCCACAGCTCAAAATCCCTCTCCAGCTGGGCCTCCACCTGCCCTTTCTCAGCCCATCGTAGGCGCTGAGGACAGGGTCTGGTGACAGTGCTGTCTCGCTGCTTGAGATGGGGAACAGGGACTCCACGTACCTTTGCTGAGTGGGAAGACCAAGCGCAACCGGCTCAGTCCTCACGTGCGGCCCACGTGGGCCATGGGAAGAGTTCACGACCAAGCAGGTAAGTTACAGACCCTATTTTCATGAAAATCAAAACAAATGAAGCAAGCAGGGGTTCTGAAAAATGAGACACGGTCTGGACGATGCTGTGCTGCCAAAGAGAAACAGGCGTGATGGAGCCAGCCTGGGCATGGAGGCTGGGTGGATGCACCTGTGAGCTGGGCCATGACCAGATACCTGCAGTGGCCGGCATGAGGGGACTCGCCTGCCATTCTCTCAATCTCGGGGCTTGAATGAACAGGTGTCATCTTATAATTAAAACAAGATGAGAAACAAGACAAAAGCCACAACACTAGATATACTGTCCAACAGGTACCTACACCTGCTGGGAGTGTTATATTTAAATGGCTTAGGTACAAGACGCAAATGTTGTTAGTGGGCACATTTGCACAGGAGCCACAGTAGAAGCCAGGACGGGCGCTGACCCCAGACACTGGCAGTCGGTCTCATCTCTCACCCACACCTTGCACGTGACTCCCAGACGTGCTGGGAGGTCTGCCCCGCCTGTTAGCACCAGTCCATCCCGAGCTTGGCCCTGAGGCTGCGGGGATCACTAAACGTGGCAGGTTCCGGGCACGCTGTCACCCTGACACCTGCGTGTGCTCCCTGGGCACTGAGTGTGACCCTGGCCCTGCTCCACAGAGAAGATGCTGTGAGGCGCACCGTGGGGACATCCCGTTACCAGCGATGACTTGGCAGCAGTCGGTGACAGAGACGCGGCCACCCTGCTCTGCCGTCTTCACTCTTGGGAACTGAACCTCAAGGTCTAACCGTGTGGTCTGTCTGGTCTCTGCGACTTTCTTCAGGGCCCTGACGCTGCACCGCCGCCCACCTGCGTGGAGCTGGGATCCTCTGGCTGTAGGCTCGCCGCGTCTAGAGCCCTCTGGAGCCCATGCCGGAGAGGCCCCAGTGAGCATGGTCTGAAAGCCCCCTGCTGGCCCCATGCTCACTCGTGGGCCTGCCAACCGGCCACACAAGAAACTCCTCCCGCTGTGCGTAAACGCCCACTGCGCCATTCCAACCATGGAACAGCGGCGCTGCTGACAGCGAACATCCTGGGCCGTCTGAGGGAGCGCCACACGCTTCTCCCGAAGAGCCTCCCTCCAGTGCTCCCGTGGACCCCACCAGCCGGCCAAATGCAGGTTCATTCCTCCCGGCGGTCCCTTCCAGGGCGCTTCCTCGGACTCCCACGTGCTGCCTGAGACACCTCCTGTCTGTATACATTCACTTTAGTCTCAAAGATTTTTTCCTCAAAACTCAGAGGCTTAGCAGAGAAAGAAAAATCACAGTTAGAAACGTTGACACTTCCTGGAGCTTCCGGGAGGTTTGCAGAGGCCGTGCAGGGGACGTGCAGACATACTCTCACCTGGCGCCTGCGCTGTGACAGGCGATGTGCTCAGGGCCTCGCCTGTGCCAGCAGAGGGGAAGATGGAGCCCAGGTCTGGACCTGAACTCTGAAGCCCTTGCTCTGAGTCATGACTACACAGTGGCTGCAAGAAAACAAAAAAGTGCAAGTGGTGGCAGCTGGCAGCTTCTGGGCCACAGGTGTGTCGAGATGCCTGCCACACAATTCTTGTCCTGTAAGAAACGAGGGAGGGGAAAGGAAGGTTGCACATAATTTCCGTGTTGCAGATGAGAAAGTGAGGTCCCAAGACTACCAGGGAGCAGCTGCCATTAAGTCCCAGCCCGTCTCTCTCCTCGGCCCTCACCCTCCCGCGCAGGCCTGGCACACTGCTGCCTCCAGGCCACATGCCACCAGCCAGGAAGAGGGCCAGGATGAGGGCAGGATGGCTGGCGCAGGAGCAGCGCTCAGCTGCTTGTGCCCCTACACACCCCAAACCGCCAAGCCACAGAAGGGTTTCAACACCTTCCCTGCAGGACAGACAGGGCACAGAGAGCCCACGGCCTGGTGCAGGCACCGGTCAACGCTCTGCCACCCCACCGCCATCATGCTGACCCCACAACGACCTTTTTTTAATTTTTATTTTTTTGGTGAAGAAGATTGGCCCTGAGTTAACATCTGTGCCAATCTTCCTCTATTCTGTATGTGGGATGCAGCCACAGCGTGGCTGGATGAGCACTGTGTAGGTTTGTGCCTGGGCTCTGAACCTGCAAACCCCATGCTGCCGAACCAGAGGACATGAACTTAACTGCTACACCACCAGGCAGGCCTCGTGCAACGATCCTTTTAAACCACTGCTGGCCTTTGATTCCATGCATCTTATTTTCATTCAGCTCACACTTTCATGAATTATCTGTCAAAGCCCCTAAACTGCCATTTCCAGGCTGAATTTGGCTTTTGTCCACGAGAGATGAAGGTTCTGAGCTAACACCTGGTGGTGTGGGCCCCACTTTAAGTTTGGCCATGCTGTCATCTCTGTCCAAGCAGGATTTGCACTATTATCTGGACGTTTATTTACTTTTGCCTTCCCACTGACAATTACTGAAAAAGAAGAACAGATGTGCTGTCAGTGATAAGGGGAGGGAAAGGGCGCTGGTGCCACTGCTGGCCACGGCAGACACCGTCTCAACTGGACGCCCAGTGGACTTCAACTGGCCAAATGGATACTCAACTGTGAAAAAAACAACAAAAAATAAAGAACATGAAATATTGAAAATATGGGCTCAAAGTTTGTGTCTAAAAAGCAAGGTGAGGTGACAGAAGAAGTGAGGCTTTAGAATTAAGGACCAACAATCAGCCCCAAACCAAGCAGGCCTGGTGCCCACCCGCGGACGCGCACAGGCCCAGAGAGGAGTGGCCGTGCGGTGGCCACGCCCATGTGGACTATTTCTTGGTGTCTTGGAAGGAGGACCACACCCACCGGCCATCCGCTGTCCCATCCCTTTGTGGAACACCTGGAAGTGCACTTCCAGCCTCAGGATCCTGCTGCTGGGCGCACAGAGCTGAAGCAGGATGGGTCATTGAAACGCACCTTCACCGGCATTTCACAGCCAGCCCACGTTTCAACGTCTGAAACACTCATGTGCACATTACACAACACACGCAGGGAAAAGCACACCCACAATTAAGGATTTATAGTATTTACATGCTCCTGGGAATGGAACCAACAGAGAACACGCACTCTGCACCCCAAATGCAAGGTCTCTGAATGGTCCACTTTGGCACGCATGTCGGCCCACACATGGCAGTGGCTGTGCATGCGCCAGGCACCTTCCAGAGGACAGCAAGAGCACATGAGTGCCCCTCCTGCCCCTGTGACGCCTCCCGGCCCAGGGGAGACAGCCAGGAGGTAGGGGTGACGGGCGCAGAGCCTGAAACAAAGTGCACCTGCCTCAGGCTCCCCAGTGCGGAGGGGCCTCTCCTGGGGCTTGTCACCTGCTCTCGCAGTGAGCCTGACCCAGGAGGGACGACCAGACCAAGGTTTAGGTAATTGCAACATAAAGGATTATAATTAACTCCACAAGCCTCTTTTCCAACCTGGTGTGGTCCCGACTAGGGGGTGAGGAGGAAGCACGTTGCCCTCCTTGGCCGAGCATGGGCAACGCGCCCGCCTGGTGGGGAGAAGTCAGGCACAAAATGCACCCTGGGAGGCAGGTTCATCGCAAACACGGTGTCACATGAGTCATGAGCATCACGTAACAGAATTGTGTCCAGACGACCGACGACCAGGGCACAGGGCTTGCCTGAGCCATGCAGCCGTCCCATGCCACAGACCCTCCTGCCAGCCCGAGGGCCGCCATCAGAAACCCAGCCACGAGCGGACACAGGTGTGCACTCTGCTGCAACACCATTTTAAGGAAGTTCGGAGAAGACCCAAGTTTCAAATGTATGACATATACGCTGCCCCCCGATAATCAAAAAATGCTTTATTCAGTTGTATTAATTATTCCATCAAGCAAAAACATACAATTCCATTTACCGCCTAACGCAGGCGTGCTGGCAGGCAGGCTGAAGAACTGAAATCCGCGGACAGGCAGGAGCAGGCTCACCTCTCGTGTGCGAACCCCCGGACGGCAGCAGACCCTGCGGGAGCATCAGAGTCATAACCCACAGTGAACACACAAGTGAACACCACTGAGTTCTGCACCACTAACGAAAAGCTCAGAAACACAGCTCTCAAGAACGTTCAAAGGTTCAAGTTTGCTCTTGTCACACATACGTAACGTTTTCTCAAATGTACTTTTCCAAGAGATGCTCGCATGTTGGGGGAGCACACTTGCCTGCGTGCCGCCTCTGCAGCAGCCCTGAGATGCTGATGGGCTGCCGGGGGGCTGGGGCCCGGGGGCCCCCAAGGCTGGGCGAGCCCCTGCTTCCCGCTCTGCCTGGTGCCTGGGGGGCTGGAGTGTGGGACGGGCCCTTACAGGGGATCTGCAGCGATGGAATCCTAGCAGTGAAGTCAAGAAACAGAATCAGCAACGCTTCAAATGTCCTTGGCAACATGATAATTCAAGCACTGACTATTTTTTGGTTTTAAAGACTATGTGTTGATTCAAAAACACGTTCTAAGTGCCCAGGATGAGTGAGGCCACGTGCTGTGCTGGGGGCTAAGTGCTCCTGCGGGAGCAGCTGCCCATGCAGCGCCCACCAGGCAGCCTCCAGCACCTTCTCTGGGCTGTGGTGACTCTGAGCGGGGCCTGAGAGGATGGCTGCCCGTGACCAGGGCCCAGCGCCTGCCGTAGGAGCCCCTCCTCTGCTGATGCTGACAGCAGTCAGGAGGTATAATCAGTGGGAACCAGGTAGGGGGGCCCGGCTGCCCTGGGGGTGGAATGGGGTGAGGAGAGGAATCCCGGTCCTGTCACGGGTGTGGGCAGGAGGCAGGCAGGGTGGCCTTGTGAGTCAAGGGGTAGCAGGCACACAGACACGGCTCTGGGTGAGCTGGGAGAGGATGCTGGAGGCCAGCGGCTGGACTGCGCCCACCGGCACTGGAAGCCACTAAGAGGCTTTAGGTCGGGGGTGGGGAGTGGGAGGCCAACTTCTAGAGACCGCCTGGCCTTCGAGCACGTATAGGGCGGCCAGTGGACGGCAGGCCCTGGGCCAAAGCCAGCCTCACCTGCTCTTGTAGATAGTCTTAGCGGCACACAGCCACGCCCACTGGCTCAAGCACGAGAATACTGGCCACCTGCCCTCAGAGCGCGGCCGGTCTGGTCTGCTCCTGTGACGAGGTGTCGTGCACCCATTACATGGCTCTATCAGAGCTTTAAGTAACAGGGCAACTGCCTAAGCTATATTTTAGCTTAAAAAAAGCAAAATATGAAGTGGTCTGCACAATATATCCTCACTCAGAGCACGTAAAAATGGGGTTAGAAAGCACTATTTCTAGTAAGTCAGATCACGAGGAGTCTTGTTTCTCACTTTCCATTTTAAACGTCTTTAAGGAGCTGTGTGAGGGACGCTACCTGAGAGCCTGTGGCATGCTGCTGTGACCTGGCGTCAGGCCGAGGTGCTGAGGGCCGTGGGAGACGCTGCCTGCAGGGGCGGGATGAAACGTGAGTACCACCTGCTCAAAGGAAGGAGAAAGTCACACCTGCCGTGTGCTCTGTGCTCTGACCTGTCCCCTTCACGAGACTGGGCGAGCCCCTCCTGTCCCCACCGTGTGCCCATCCCCACTGAGCTCCATCCCACCACGCCCCATCCCTGCTCAGCCCCCAAACTCTTCCCGATGCGGCAGTAGCGCCCTCATGATGGGGAGTGAACACTGCGCCCATACGCATGGCTGCAGCTCAGAGAAGATTCAAACCGTCCTGACGGCTGAGTGGTCTGATATCAAGACCCAGGCACAGACACTTGGGCGCTGAGCTTCAGCTGACACTGTGCTCAGCCGCGGCCTCCACCTCTGCTGCCCGTGGGCGGTGCGGGAAGGCATGTGGGAGACACTCAGTAATGATGGGCACCCACACTGTCCCCATGCTCTGAGAGCCGTGGGAAGGGAAACACTCCTCCAGCTCTGACAGGTGTGGGGGCAGCAGGACCGAGCCCGCCCGTCAGTGCCAGGACTCAAGGTGGTCTCCATTCAAACCACAGGTTTACACCCGGCCGCGTCTCTGTGTTGAAATCCTAACAGGTGGGTAAGACACTTCAGCTAACCCTGCAAACGTCCCTGGTAGCTTCTGTCACACCAGAGGGCAGATGGGTAAAGATGGCCCTCCTTTAACACCTGAATACTTTTGTATCCAAATCTTGTAGAATTTTGACATAAGAAAGGCAGGGAGAGAAGGAAGACAGCGTTAGCTTAGGCTCCCTATGTGTCCTCTCACGTCACCCCTCTCCTCATTGAAGAACCTGGATCAGAGCCGTGAGTGCCTTTCCCAAGGCTGCACAGCGCTAAGTGGACAATGGAGGTCTGGTCTGTTTGCCCTTGGGCTGTGTGGATGGCGGGAGGACACTGCCCTCTGGTGGCACCGCAGCCCTGCTGAGAGTCTGCAGGTGACCCTAGGAAGACCCCGCACAACGCTGAGAACCAGGGAGGCAAACTGTCTCAGCTGTGGCTGTGCTAACCACGTTTTTTACGGTCTGTATTTACGATGGTTTGACGTCCTGGGGCCTTGCTAATCCTGGAGAGAGTGCCCCTCCCAGGGTCAACGGACCCCCAGGGCCAGTGAAGGGTCTGCCTGCAAGCGTGCCTCTGACACAAACACCAGCCACTCTGAACCTGCGCTCTGATCTGCCTCCTCTGACCTGCCTCCTCTGACTTTCACGCTCTGCCCTAATCACCTGAGGCTGGGCCTCAGAGAACGTGGGGCCCCACCCTGAGACCGCTACAGCGACTCCAGCCAGCCAATCCCAAACCTGCCAGCCTGTCCCGCCCCGTCGCCCACTCCTTCCCCTGAAAACAGTCAGGGCTCCTGCGTGCCCTGCCCTGGCCCCTGCCTCCCGTGTGGCCTGGGTGCGTGCCTGCCTCCTGCCACCTGCCTCTGAGTGTGAACTTCTCCCTTCACAGCGGTTGTCTCCTCATCTGCTGGCCTCACCACCTGATTTCAAACAAATTGGGCACCCGTCAACACACGGCAGAACCAGCAGCCACCAGCAGTGGCTCTCTGCTCGGTGACATCAGGCTCACGGTCACTTGGAAGTTTCTTATTTACTCTTTACAGTAATTTACAGTGGACATACAGAGATGAGGAAACTCAGGCTCCAAGAGACCAACAACTCATGGGGGCCGTGTGGGCAGCCCTCTCAGGCCTTGTGTGCTCAGGGCTCTGTGGCCAGAGCGCAGTGGGCATTCTGCACACCCAGCAGGCGGTGGGCTCTCAGGAGTCCCTCGGGCTCTGCCTGATAACCCTGACAGGGCAGAGTCTGTTCTAAAGAGCAGTAGCTCAGTGAGCTGCCGAGGACGGTGGGGCGGCTGGGAAGACGGAAAACTATCCCAGAGCCACCAAGAGCTCAAGAGCATGGCAGGGCCGCAGGACCAGAGGAGGACGTCCTCAGGCTGTGAGGGTGCCCCGTGCTCCAGCCAATTAAAACCCAGGAAACTGGGGCCGGCCCTGTGGCTGAGTGGTTAAGTTCACGGGCTCCAGTTCAGTGGCCCAGGGTTTCACTGGTTTGGATCCTGGGCGCGGACATGGCACTGCTCATCAGGCCATGTTGAGGCAGAGTCCCACATGCCACAACCAGACGGACCTACAACAAGAATATACAACTATGTACTGGGGGACTTTGGGGAGAAAAAGCAGGGGTAAAAAAAGACAAAAGAAGATTGCAACAGCTGTTAGCTCAGGTGCCAATCTTTAAAAAAGAAAACAAAACAAAACCAGGAGCCAGAGGGATGCTCTCTTACCAATGAGACACCTCCAAGCCAGAGCCTTGAATTCTGCTCAGGAAAGCAATATTATTTAATGCATTTTAGAAAGATTTTCATTTGAAAAATTTAAATTAAAAACATTTTGAGAGCCAGCCCTGGTGGCCTCGTGCTTAAAGTTCAGCACTCTGCTTTGGTGGCCGGGGTTTGCTTCCCAGGCACGGAACCACACCACCCGTCTGTCAGCAGCCATGCTGTGGTGGTGGCTCACAGACAAGCACTCGAAGGACTTACAACCAGAATATACAACTATGTACTCAGGGCCTTTGGGCAGTAGAAAAAAAAGAGGAATACTGGCAACAGATCTCAGCTCAGAGCGAATCTTCCCTGCCAAAAAAAGAAAAAAGGGAGAGAGAAAAAAGAAATAAAAATTAAAAAAAAAATGTGACATTTCAAGAGGGTAAGTTTGATTATCTGGAATATGGAAAAACTCATTGCCCTGTGGTGCCAGATGAACAAGGCTCTGCTGTTTTCTGGATGAGACAATGTGCCTCAAAGCAATCGCTCCTGTCTGATCACTGAGAGGGAAGATACCCAGAAATGCTCTTAAACCAATCAGCCATGGGCATAACATGAGAGGACATGAAACTGTGCAGCCATCTGTGGACCGCCTGTCACCGGGTGAAGTGGGACGGCTGCAGGCAGTGTTTTAAGTCATTCAATGAGTGCTGAGAAGACACTTCTGGCTTGTGGAGTCGAAATCAGCAAACCACCTCTACAAGACTGAGTATAAAACTGGATGAACTTGTAAAAACAACTGTTTTAAGAAATCAATGGCATCCGTGCTGGAACACCTGCGGTGGCCTGGGTGGAAGAGGGCGCTCTGCCTGGGGCTGGTGAGAGGGCAGCTGCACCAGCGAGGGGCGGCTTGGAACTCACGGCTTTGCTTCCAGGGGGGAAGCCTTGACCAGCAGAAAGCACAGCCACCCCACAAGAGGTGAATCGGTCGCAAATGGGGAGCCCACAGCTTTGCTGGCCTGCAGCCACGACTGGGCAGAGCAGAGACCAGCCAGAAATCGAATGGGGAGACTCTGGAGACCAGAGCACCAGAGAAAGGCTGTGCTCCACGTAATCCTGGCCAAAGGAAAAACACACGCATGGGCAGGGGGATGAGCAGGGGGCACCCAGAGCGCCTGGGACAGCATAGTCGGGAGTGGTCAGAGCACTGGCTGCATGTGAGTAGGCTCCCAGCACATGCAGGTCATCAGCAGAAGAGCCAAAAGAATCTAGAAGAAGGAAGACAAAGTCGGAGGACGCACTTCACAACTTCAAAAATTACTCTAAAGCTATCGGGAGGGAAAAACAAAGAGAAAAGCAGCTCGTCACACACAGAACAGTGCGGCCCACAGCTGACGTCTCATCAGAGACGAAGGAAGCCACAGGAGGCAGAACCACCATGCAAAGTGCTAGAAACTGTCAACCAGGAATCCCACATCCAGGGAAGCGGCCCTTCAGCATGAAGGCAAACTGGAGACACCCAAAGGTGAGCAACACTGAGAGAACTCATGCTGGCCACCCACCCTGCAGTGACCAGCTGCTTCAGGCTGAAAGGAGGTGACAGCCGACAGCACCTTGAACCCACGGAAGGAATGAGGAGCACTGGAAATGGTAAAAACATGACAAATGTGAAGAACGCACGTGTCTGTTTCCTCTTGTGATCTCTGAGAAATGTGAGCTGGTTTACAAGAAACAACTACAATCCTGAACTGTTGGGTTTATAACACGTGTGAGTGCTATATATAACATACGTAATGACATATGTAAAGAAAACATTACCAAGTAGGGGAGGAAGTGGAACCTGGCTGCAGCGACACTGCTGTATTTCTCCAGGATTAAGTCAGCTTTCACCTCAAGTAGGTCAGAAGATGCATGTTGTAATCCCTAGGGCAATCGCTAAGAAAAAACAAAACCCACTGCACAGTACCAACCGAGGCATCAAACGCGCCTCAGTCTGCTGGAACAGAACACCACAGACTGTGGGCTTAAGCAACAGAAATTCTGTCCTCACAGTCCCGGAGGCCAGAGGCCCAAGACCAAGGTGCTGGCTGAATTCGGGCTGTGAGGGCTCGCTTCCTGGCTTGCAGACAGCTGCCCTCTTGCTGGGTCCTCACACGGCCTCCTCTTTGTGTGTGTGCGCATGGAGACAGGGAGCGAGCTCTCTGGGGTCTCTTCTCATAAGGACACTAATCCTACCAGATCAGGGCCCCCCGTACGACCTCATCGACCTCCTGGGGGTCCCACCTCAAACACAGTCACCCTGGGGGTTAGGGCTTCAATATACGAATTTTGAGGGGACACAATTCAGTCCATAACAACATGGCACACTAAAAATATTTAATGCAAAACAAGGCAGTTAAGGAGATAAGCATAAACAAAAAAATCCCAACTCACACACAAACAAAGGCAGACATAAATCCAAACATATAAATAACCCTCTTAACCACTGATGGGCTAAACAGTCCAATCAAAAGGCAGAGATGTTAAAAATGGATCAAGCCAAAAAAAAATAGCAAGACCTAACCATATATTGTCTACAAGAGGCACACTTTCGATTCAAAGACACAAACAGGTTGAAAATAAAAGGATGGGAAAAGATAGATCATGCAAACTATAACCAATCAGAAAATTAAATGAAGAAAATTCCACTATCAACAATAATTAAATACCTAAG